ATGCAGTCCAAAAGGTGCGTGTTGCTAATCACTGTCATGTGACTTGAAGCAAGAGCCATGCAGTCCTAAAAGGTGCGTGTTGCTAATCACTGTCATGTGATGCAAGAGTCCTGCAGTTGCAAGTACTATAAAACCCTTAAAATATAAATAATTTTTTAATTGGCCCCCCGGGCCGCTATTTAAACCCAAGACAAACAAATGAATAACAAATAAATAAAACATAAACTATCTATATATATTTTTACACATGTATATATATATATGAGATACCTCTAGGGTCTATTTGACGCCCTATTTTTCTCCTTTTGATTAGATAGATCGTAAAAAACTGATATAATTGAAGTAATTCAATTCGCCGGGAAGTATTTCAAATATTTCAATTATTTGGGACCTCTAAATAATTGAAACACTTGAGATAATTGAAATAATTTGAATCCCTTTCTACTGGTGCAAGCCGCCAAACCCCCACCATTTCAATAATTGAAATAATTGAAACAATTGAAACAGTTGAAATAATTGAAATAAGCCCGATTTAAAATGTTTCAATTATTTACATCAGTTTGTGACCCCGAATAATTGAAATAATCGAAATAGGCCCGATTTCAATTATTTCAATTATTTGGGACCCCCCCCCCCCCAATAAATTGAGATAATTGAAGTCCCTATCTACTTGCGTAAGCCGCCAAATCCCCCACCATTTCAATAATTGAAATAAATGAAATAATTGAAATAATTGAAATAAGCCCGATTTCGTTGACCGCTGCTTTGTAGGCATTTCGCCAGGTGGCGTCGGCCAGAGTCTATACTCCCTCCACCTGTCGGAGATGTACAAGCACAGCCACAGCTTCTTTGATCCCAATGTCTGGCACCTGGACGAAGAACTGCAGAAGCAAGTCGAATCTTTTGCCCGGTGCTTCATGTTGACAGGACAGGAGGCCCCCGAAACCAACAAGAAGATGCACATCCACCTTTACAAAAATAGACAATCTCTGGTGATGGCATCATGGGCAGAAAGCCGTATGGATACAGTATATGAATGTTCCAGATGATCGGCTGGACCAGACTGGAAGTGAACATAGTGATTGCCTTCCTGGGTGTCGCTAACAACAAGTTTAATTCTATGTTCCGGCGATCGTTTGTTTGGAAAGCCAAGGCTCGTTTCGTGCACGGCAAATTTCTGAAGCAGTACCCAGACCATGAGCAGGATGGGATTTTCGAAGCGGATCCTAGCCTCAGCAAGTTCTTGACCACTTCACAGGCGTCCATTGCCGGATTGAAACTGCAATGGGCTTTCGAGGTGGATCACAGCAAGGAGGACTGCTATCAGCCCATAGAAGATTATTGCAGTGGATGTGATGGTCATCTGACAGAAAACATAATGAGAGACGCGTGCGGCTTGCCTGTGAGGGTTCGGCAGGTACAAGAGGAGGAAGGGTTGGGCAATACTTTGGCAGCCGGTCAAGATAGTGCAGATGAACGGGATGAGGGAGGTCGAGTGCGTCAATGGATGCCGATCACCAAGCCAAGCTTCCGAACTGTATGGGAATTCGGTGTATAACATTCACATACTTTTGGACCCAATAAAGTAGATTGTGCATGCATCAACACACGCACTCATGTACATCGTCTCTTCCGTGAAAGGCAGGCGCACGCTTGCATACGATGACATAGCTATATGATGGATATATATATATATATGTGTCCGCTAGCACACGTACATCAGCATGTGTACATATTCGCCAATCGCCGCTCCGCATGCGCAGCAAAGCACAGCTCCGGTCTCGGGCCGCTCTGCTTCAAGAGCTCGAGGCCGGCAGTTGCGGGAACACCTGTGCTGGAACACGCCGTGCATATTCCGATTGATGCAGGTGGTCATGGCTGCACATGCTGGCTTTCAGCATGTAAGAGATCGCGTCGGGAACTCAACTTTGGAACAGGTCGGGAGTGCATGCCGCTGGGTGTTGAGCAGGCCTACGCATCCATGCTTGAGGAGATGGAGCAGGCCATCGTAGAGTATCACACGACATCTTTGATTCCAGTGTAGCTTTTAGGACGGATACCGGTATCGTCTAGACAGAAACTTTTCCGAAACATCTAGACGTGTTACGCAGTGTAATGAACTCATGTAGAGATGGTCTTATAGACTTGAAGCCTCATCAATTCAAAGGCAGAGCTGTTGTGGTTGCTAGGCCCGCCCGCGTCAGCCTGATCATCCACCTCCTGCGCGGTCCTTACTGAGTATTGTATGGGAAATTAGACGTCATGGAAACCTATGCCTGGAGGGCTGGATCGACAAGATTGATGATGCAATTGCTACACGGCGCAGCATATGTTTTACACAAGTGTGTTCGCCATTAAGCTCGGCTTGCATGAGATTTGCACCTGGTACGGGCGACATCGCCTGATATCGATATTACAGAGACTGATGACGTTCGTGGCCCCGCATGAGGCTTATAACACCACTATGATCATTGGCTAAAATATGTTAGTCTGCTTGCTGACAGACGGTTGATCGACCAGTCGCTCACAAAGGAGCCCTCTTTTCACGAGCGACATGCTCTTCCGAGTCTACGTACTCAGTCGAACGCAGGACTCAACAGATGCACATGCCTGGGAGGAGGCTGTGATTTAACCGCAGGTATATCGGAACTGCGTCTAAACTATCCATCCCGATTCAGGATCGCGAGGAGGAGGAGGTCCTCACAGATGACGAGGGACACGCAGTATGTTACTCATTAGGGTTTGTAAATTCATCTCTTAACTGATAGGGAAACTCAGATCGATGAGCCCCACGAGGCCAGGTCTGCGATCGTGTAGGTACTTCAAAAAGATATGTGTACGCTTACTTTTGCGAACGAGCACACGAAGCACGAAAACGTCAGGGTGGGAAAGTAACTCATACCACCATTGTTGAAAAATGGCACCAATTCGCCGTGCCACGGACAGGATATCAACGAGAATGTTCTCGCCAAAATCAATCCGTTTTTTTGCGAAGGACGGTCGGCGTGATATGGCACTGCTTTGGATCGTATTTCAAATTTGTCATGAGGACAGTGACCGAGATCATCGATGCCAGCCCGTGGCCAAGTCGATCACCCACCTCGTCAGCCAGAAGCTGTTCGAGAAGCCGGGCAGTCAGTTTTTGTTTGTTAAACAAAGCACGAAACGACGAGAGTGCACGCCGCACGCTAAGGCTTCTGGGACTTGCTCATCGGGAGGTGCTGGAGTGGCAAGCGTTGATGCTAGTGATGTACCGTTCTTCTTCTGTTGGCAGGCGTTTCGCGAGGTTTCACATGACATGGCGACAAAGAAGCCCGCCGCCATCGAAGAGGTGAAAGTGAAGAGAAACAAAAAATAACATCAATAATACCAATAAAGAGTTAGAAAAAGATACCTGGGTTCAGGGTTTAGGGTTCCGGTTTTGGGGTCCCAGGGTTTAGGGTGTAGGGTTGGTTCCGGGTTTAAGGTTTAGGGTTTGTGGCGAAGGTATGCAGAAGCCACGGCAGACGGGATTTGGGGGAGCAGGGCTTAGGATTGCAGGGTTTAGGGTTTAGAGCTTCAGTGTTCGGGAGTATGATCTGCAGCGCCTGCTGTGTGTTCTTCCATTGCTTGGTATGTCTCTTGTGGTTTCGGACATTGCTATAAATGCCCGTGACTAGGGGAAACATGGTCTCATGTTGTGCAAGAGAAGCCGACAGAGCTGCATACGGAACCCTACGGACGATGCAGGGATGTGTCCATCAGCAGTTCCACCCGAAACCGTAAACCCCTCAACACCTAAACCCCTAAACCCTGAACCCTAGCACAGAATTCAAAGCTTCTCAGTGCTTTCCACGAGCTCAGCAACTGAAAGGAGCCCGGAAGGCCCGAGACACCTAAGTTGTTTAAGCCTTAAGGTTTAAGGTTTCGGGGTTAGGATTTAGGGTTGAGGGTTTAAGGTTTAAGGTTTAGGGTTTAAGGCTTAGGGTTTAGGGCTGAGGGTTTAGGCATTTTAAATGGATGGAGTTGAGGGTTTAGGGGTTCTCAGGGTGCAGGATTCTGGGTTTAGGGAGTTGGTTTTTGGCCGTCTGCCACAGCTCCAGGCAGAACACCCTCAGGCGCTGAATCCGGTTAGCCTACTAACCCTGAATCTTGCAATTTCTTCTAAACCCCTAGAACCTAAACCCTAAACCCCAAAGCCTTGGACCCAACCAAACCCTGATAACCCTAGAACGCCCTGCATCCTCAACCCCATAAACCCTAAGCCCCAAAGCCCCAAACCCCAAAGACCGTCACACCCTGGAGCCCTAACCCTAGCAAAACCCGTCCTAGGTAGCATTAGGGAAACCCCTCAAAAGGGACCCTTCTTAACCCTACTCCTGGCGGACCTTATTGACAGGGTCTATATCCCCCAGAGTCCGCCCAAACCCAAACCCCGAACCCGGAAACCCTACAAGCCTGAAGCCATGGAAGAACTTACAATTCCCAGGTAGGCCTTCCGAACCTTTCATAATTTCGTCCTGCTTGGGCCGAAGAGGATCTGAT